AAGAACATCACTTATGCTCATTATAGGTACTTATTTATACTATTTCATATTGTACAGATTATATATAATTTCTAAATTAAAAAAAATAAATATAAGCTTTTCCAGAAAACTGGAAATTATAAAATAATAATTTATAAAAATGTAGATGTATTATATTATTATTTATATTTTATAATATTATATATTATTTTATATTAATAATTACATTTACATTTAAACATCTATATGATCGAATTACATGATTTATTTATATTATTATATTATATTATTTATTTATTTTTTAAACCATTATACCTACACGCAAATGTTTGTTAAGTACCTATATTATGTCTTTTATGTATACCCATATACGTGGTCAAATTCCAAAATTTAAACCTACCTACCTAAATTGTTTGGCATTCCATCATTATAGTGGCTTGCCATTTATGTATAGAAATTAACCATTCTATTATACTACTCCATTAGCATATCTAAAAAAATATGTTAACCAAGTGAACTCTATTTTTAATTAATTAATTAAGTTAAGGAGTAACCTATAGTTATAAAGCGGCAACCCTTCGTTTTCGCGTAATCGGTTTTCAAACATTTTTTACTTTACGCACCATGTTGAAGAAGGCCAATCGTCAATCAATCATTACGGTTGACATATTATATACATATATTATCTATGACTCTAGATCTAATATTCAGAGCTGTATAAAAAATTATTCATTTAATGATTTACCATGTAGTTTAATAGGCCTCCATCATGAGCCAATAAATAAAGTATAAAAAACAATATTATATTAAAAGCTCACTATTGGTTCGCTTAAAATTCATGCAAAACGACAATAATCTTCTTCGGATTTGTATTTTCTCAAAGTCTATTGTTTATTGTTATGTTATTATTTGTTATAATATATTATTATAGAATAATCCGCCCAATCAATCGCGTGTATCGACACGCATTGTTCACCAACAATAATTGAATCGTTTCAACGCGTTTCGAATCGAATAACAACTAGCCGTATTATATTATTAATCGTATTTGGTATAATAAAGTACTTTATAATCTCGTATACTATTGTATTATTATTATTATTAATATTATTATTTATTATTATTGTAATACCGCTGCACAAATTGTGTACCACGAACGCAAAACACGAGTTTTCGTGTATCTGAGTTGACGTTTTTTTCGTAGCAATATATGATTAAAAAAAAAATAATAAAACACTACGTTATAATAATATAATATTTTGCCATTCAATAAAACAAATAAGTAATAACGCTATATAAACATAACAACATTACTGACCACCGTGTTCACAGTTTTTTTTCCCTCTTACTATTTACGATATAATATATTATGAATTAATTAAAAAAAACTAACATTGGCACTTTTCCTGTTCGTCTGCAGCAGTTCTTGCTCTCGAAAAATGTGTAACGTGTGTAAATACGACTCTTGACGAATCTATCGTGTTAATGTTAATATTATATTGTACATAAATCAAACAGCCGTTATAGCTGTGGAAAAAAAATGAATTTAAAAACAATAATAATGATGATGACGTGTGTGAATTTACTTGTGTTAATATAGTAACAAATCTACAATTTTTCTATCGGGTTATCAATTATCATTTAACGATTGTATACATAAAATCATAATATTATTATTATTGTTATTATGCGCTGCGCTCGCGATAAGTTGTTCGGGGATGGTTTGAATATTTATTCGAACGATCCCGAAAAAAAAAAAATACCATCACAATATGTTTCACGTATACAGTTTTTGAATTATTATTATTATTATTATGGTGTGTTGAGATGACAGTGCCCAACAGGAATTCCATATTTAGTTGGCATTCGTCGATGACACCACCATTTTACGTAAAATAATATATTATGCAAAATATTATTCTTCTCTTGACTCTTGTATAGGTATCATAATATTATTATTGTATTATATGTATTGATTCGAACATGACAATATTTTATTATCAGTAACACGTCATAATTTCTAGTTTTCGATATTACAATCATACATTTTTATAATATTTTGTTGTAGGTTCCTAGGTACTTAATATTATAATGGCTAATGTGTGTGTTTGAAAATAAATATTTTTGTTATTAAATTTGCACGTTTGATTATTTTAAATTGTTGTTGTACCTACCTCTACCTTCTATGAGTTGTTTCACTCCGTTGGATGGAAAATTTTCAAAATAAATCCACAATAAACTTCTATGCACAAGACGTCAATTTTATAGGCCCGTGATCTTATAAGGTAGTAACGCAATATGGACTGGAACTGGAAATATTTAACACATTTTTTAACTAAATCTCTATAATTTCGTTACGAAAATCATTGGCCTATAAAACTGACTTTTGTATAGCAGTTCATGGTGAATAGTGAATACATTAAACAATATTATAAAATAATTAAGAAATATTTTATGACGATTTCAACAAGCATAGTTTGTTCTTTATTACCTATTAGATTGGCATTAATTATTATAGTGTGAAAAACTGATAACCTACAATATTACTGCAATATTATGTCATTATGCTTTGTTTTTGAAAATATAAGTTGCTTTCGTTCGTTTAAAATTCTACTGATTTTAAAATTGTTTTATATAAATAACTGGAAAATGTCTAATTTCCAGGGAGGCTGATTAGTCATCATATTATATTACAATTTACATGAAAAAACGCGTGTGTGTCAGTACACACGACAGAAGTGAATACTTAAATGATTATTTAACTTTAATTGGAATTAAAATATTTTACATAAATATATAACAATGAACATAGCTTCAGTATGCAATAATGATTTATCATTGAATTTAAATTTCAGTGACCGCCTCAAGTGTTAACGCTCGACACCTATCATACAGCAGGTGACCTCTCCTGATTTTTTTAAATTATGATTTTTATAACAATTTTAAAACAAATACAATAGGTAGCTGTACTTAAAAAAACACACAAATAAGAAGTGGGTACTAGGTACCGGTAATGTCAATTTAGATTCAACATAATATATTATGGTTTTATTTATATATAAGAGGGAAATAATAAATATAAAAATGTTTTTGTATAAATAATAAATGCACCAAATTCAATCGACGGATGTTTATAATAATCAACAAAATATAACAGTCCCTACAACTTTTCATCTCTTGATAATACCTAGTGATACTATCTCGTGATACGTCTTACCTCTTATTTTTCTTGAACCGTAATAACGATAGATGTTGAAGAAAGAATACACCTTGACACATAGTTATCAACGGTCTTTTTTAATACGAATAGAATATTTTAAATATTATATACATTCTTATTCAACGATACCAGATGAGGGTTAATATTTAATAAAATATAATAGCTATAGTCACAACGATACATTTTGTATCTATTATTAAATCGATGAACCACAAAGCAACTTATTAGTTTATGTGATTAATTTGTTCAAGGCGGTCAATATATTTTAATTGTTCATTTTTATTGTGTGTTAATAGGTAATTAATTGGATTCATTTTTTTTTTATGTACCATTGCAGATGAGCATAATCCAACTCTTTTATATACTTCGACTCTTGACCCCATTGTTTAAACCTTTTATATTATGTAGGTAATACCAAATAGAGAACATCTGAACATGATGGTTTTATAGGTACTCCATAATATCATACCGTTAACCATTGAACAGATAAATCATATTTTTTCAGAATACTTTATTTTTGTCATAAAAAAAATAGAAACATTTGATCATAAATGAATAAAAAAATATCAAAATATCATGATAAATATAAAACACAGAATTAAAAATTAAAACAATTCTTGTAATAAATTTATATTATGCATTATAAATATTTTTAATATTAGGCACGTAAGAGATATTCTCACAAAACTAATGTCTTATAATAATTGTTTACAATATATTTAAATAGTTTTTATTTATTAATCTTATATTATTTTCGGAGTCAGGGGCCGCCAATATTTTTCTTAAAATACGTTTTGCTTAACAACTAAATATATTGATGGATTCTGTTCCTTTGAGCAAATATTCTTTTAACAATATAATAACAAAAAAAAATTAAAAAAATATAATATTATATAGAAATGTGTGAGACGTTAATAATAATATGATAGTAATAAATAATAATGATTATCATAAAAGCGAGTGAAATATAAAAATAAAAACTTAATTCGATACAATCACAGATTTGATATTTACAAATAAATATTCTAATATTCTAAATTTTAATTTCTTATTTCTTCTAATCGACGTCGTGAGACATTCGAATTAGGTATAAAAATTTTGGTACAATGAAACTGATTTTTAGTCACCAATATTGGCCGACATAAACTTAAAATAATAAAATATTATATTATATACATAATAGTCTAAAGTGCAGCTATATATACATTAATATCGATCCGGACCATCCTGCGGTGTGGTGCAGTGTCCTTTGTCGGACGAAAATTGTTTAATAAATAATATAATATGTTTCCTTAAAATCTAATAATGTGCGATGTGTATATAGTGGTGCATTTAAATAACGAGTGTGATAATGTGATATAATATAATAATATATTAATAAAGTGAACATAAAATATTATGTTTAATGATTATTATAGTGCTGGTTATGTGTTTGAGTGCGTTTAAAAGTGCATAGTATAAGTGCGTGTGTGTGGTGCTTTTCGTGCAAATTAAAACAAGTGCTAAAACCGTGCGTGAAATGGTGAGTGTATAAATATAACGTGATGGTGCGAGTGTTAAGTGAAATATTAAAATAAAATATAAAATAAAATATAACGATATTAAAAAAAAACAATGGAAGACATATGAGCTGTTGCACACGTATAGGTGGTATACACAATATTATGACGATTCTACAACGTTGTATATATACCATTACTTATAATATATTATATATGTTTGAGGTAAACGGCGATTCCCCTCCCCCACATCGACCCCGCACCCCCAATCGTCAAACCAAGTGCCAGGTCGTCGAGGATCGTCAACGGTCGTCCTCCATGTGCAAGTGTCGCAATTTGTCGACCGCTTCCGCCGTCGCGTTGTAGCCGACCTCCGCCACGGGCCTTGCGTTCTCGCCGTTCTCCAGCATCTCGTTGGCCGCGTTCTGGGCGCGTTCCTTGACGTCGTCTGTGGGACGGCGGTCGTGTCCGGCCGTGAACAGATTCTCCAGGCTCTTCCAGTGTTTGTTCAGGTTCACCCTGGCCGACCTGGTGATCAGCCGCAGACAGTTGGCGTTGTTGTCACGGTACGGTTTCAAGGCCTATATAATAGAGAGGGGAGGAAAAAATCGATTAAAATCAATGATAAAACAGTATAAGACGCGAGTTTAGCGAGACGCTCGACGCGCTTGCAGACGAATAGTGAGGCTTATGACATTTATCGAGCGGGTAATATATTATGATATACCCATCATAATATACTTCAACATAATATTATTATAACGTTTAGCGATGTACGTACTTGTTTCAAGACGTTGAGACGGTTGGCGTAGGAATTGTTGTTGGCGTTGCCGGGGTTCTTCGGCATCGGACCCATTTTCGGATGCTGACGGTACGATGCTCGGCACATGACTGCGCCGGCGACGATTTGAACGGATGGTCTCTGATGGCGATAATAATATAATGTTTGGCTGGTGTGTTGTGTCTATACAACGTGGAGACCCGTTCTTCCAGGTGCGTCGTTCGTTTCTCGGAGAGCTCGGCCGAAACTCACAAGGTAGCCGTCGTCGTCGCCGTCGGGTCCCGGATCGGAATGCGGTCCTGATCTCGTCCGCAGCCACCTTATATATACCTATTTTACAAAACCCGCCACCGCCGCCGCCTCCTCGTGTGCGAAGAATACAACGTACCATGTGTGTGCGTGTGTGAGTTCCATTGTCGTTCCCTGTATGGCATATACGCGCATTATTATTACTATAATATAACGGCTATAGGTTTAGGAACCGCCCCGAAAAAATATATCCGAAAATGTATTATACATTAATATATTACACATTATTGTGTTTCCCTTTCATTTTAGTTTGCAATATAATAATATAATAATATTCTATACTATGATAATGTGTGTACAGCGCTTGAAAAATAAAGTAATAAGGGTACTCTACCAGATCTGACTCTCCCACACACACCTCAAAAGTGTTATCAGCTATCACAAACAAGTAAACATTGTATATATTATATATCCAATGATAATAATACATACAAAACAATTAAATATTCTTCATAACAACAAAACGGATACCTAGGTAAGAGTACACAAGAGAATTCACTTTTTTGAAATTTTAACGATTTTCGAAATGTTATTACAACTTAAGTGTAATAGAATTTTTTTTTCGTAAATTATTAACATAAACAAAACATTTATTTTGAAATTGTCTAAAGAAAGTGGTTGGTCGTCAGCATGCAGTTGGATCAAATCGCGTACCGTTCAAAAAATTGCAAAAAGGTACTCTGCGTTCATCAGCATAATAAGCTTAGGTGCTTGGCCTCCCTGGCACCCCCTCACCCTACCCCAAAAAATAATAGCAAAATATATCACTAAGGATACGTATTATTATAGGTACACAATATACTCGTTTCGTGTCCAAGAACAAAGACATTAGACAACACGCACAAGTGCACAATCCGATCTCGACACTCTCGACAGTCGACACACTATATTTTTCACGCCATGTACGTTGTTAATGCAATAAATAATAATTTTGCTATGCTCATTCCTACGTATTATAATATTATTATTATTGTTTTTCGATACCTTTGTCCGTCTGGCGTACGTCGGCTACACACGCACACAATCTGCGTTTCGTACTTGTCTATCCGAAGATGCGTTTTATCGCCGACCATTATGATTATATATTTTTATAATATTTTATTATATTTTGTAAGCATCAATGTCGAATGTTTGCGTTTACAGGGTTATTCTTTGCGTCTTACGTACGTACGTACAACATATTATTATTATTATCTCCGTGTACGCATATAAAATAATATAAATATTTTCATCGTTATACGCGCACTCTACTGTATTGTTGTTTTTGTTGTGGTGGTCTTCGTCGTTTTATTGTGATTTTGGCGGGACAGCGAACAACGTCATGAGTAACCGTGAGCTCGGCATTAACATAAATATGCTTTTATGCGCCACAAATGCTAAAGTATAAAATATTGGAAGTATAGGATATTTAATGTAAAATATTATCGTAAAAAGCCATGTTATGTAAAGAAAAAAGTATGATTTTGGTCTTAAATTGATGTAAAACAAATTCCAGTAATGTTTGTTTATTCATTTATTATTGTATTGTTATAATTTCTAAAAATAATATGATGTAAAACAATATAATTGAGTGGGTAGATTTTAAATTCATCTTTTTTTCTTATATACTGAATTGACAGTCTTTATTAAAATCTTGTTTTTATTTTCTCGAAATAGTACGTTGAGTATTTAATTTAAGTGCGTACTATTACAAATTTAATATTTATACATTTATTTTGTACGGTCGACGAAAATTGTTGCCTGCAAAACCATTCACTCAGCTCCGATGATTCCTATATATAGCTGCTATATAACAAGAATAATATTTCAGGGATACACAATTTTTTTTATCGCATTTTAGATTCCATAATACATTCGGTAAAACACGATTGAGCATGGAATATTTAAATATTATTTTAAGCGACGTTGCCAAATTCAATCAGAAATGTTTTAATTTATTAAGATAGGTACCTAATACCTTTTTTATCTTACTGAACCACCACTTCACCATATGAGGGAAATCACGTTATCATTACTTCCCCTTACACAGCATCGTTTATAGCAAGAAAATACAATATATTATAGTTGGGAACACAACCTCATTGACCTCAGTGAAGATTTGCAGCTGGCCCTGCTTTCCTTAGCATCATAGATGTAAATTGGGAGGCTTAGGGGAGCTTAGCCCCTCCCTTAAGTATTTCTTAACTTAACTTTGTGTTATTGAGTAATATTATTCACGACTTTACGTGTTAATTTATATTTCTCTAGCCCCTTCCTTCAGATTTTTAACCATACTTATTACGCCTATGTCTATGCCTATTAGCGGATAGTATAGGTATATACTTGAATCAAAGCTTTACGAGGGCACACATTACTATATAGTGACATATTGAACATAATAATATACCATTCGTAATAATTTTAAAAAGAATAGGTGTGGCAGACTGTTCGTAAAATTATTTTTCAATAGGCCTAGATATCTATATTACTCTTTTCCGCTTCTAAATCCGTTCCGTATCATAAACTAAATTGTATGTAGGTACAACACTTCAGTGTTAAGTAGGAACAACTTTTATGACATAAGTACATTTTTAGCTAATTTATTTATTGAATGAGTAGGTAGACGTGTCAAGGTCTTGGATTATCATGATGTATATTAAAAAGGTAATGAAAATTCCCAAAGTCGATCGCAGTAAAATATCACTTGCTACATAGGTACAATACTTTCAATTTTTGCAGTAATATTTAATATATTAAAAATAATATACGTCTGTGTAATTGTATATCTAATGTACTAGTAATTGGTAGATAATGTATTATAGTACCTATAATATATTTAAATAATAATAATATGAGTATAAAGCAAGGGGGAACATATCACACAATAATTGATAAACAATTTTGGACATTCACCTGAAACCAACACTGATAGTTTATCCTAAGATTTAGCAATTCTCGTTTGTAAAAGTCCGAACTACTCAGCCAGGATTTGACCAAACTATTTTGTGTATCCTAGGTTTTACCGAAATCAATCGGTAAATCGTAAATGTCCATAATTCAGACACTAGCAGTTGACGAAACCTATAGGATTTACCGGTATTAATTGTACTTTAATCATAGCAAACATAGATAACTATTATATATTGCAAGCTTATTTATAATATTTCATAGTTTCAGACGACAAAACAAATATATTTTAGATTCTGAGCGGATATTACAATGATGTGTGTTTTTTTTAGTTTTTTTTTTTTTGTGTGTCTGTCATCACTCATCACCATTTGGGGCAGTAAAACTGCTTCGATTTTCTTCAACAGTATCTTGTTTGACGGGAAAGTGAATCTAGTTGGTGCATTTGGGAGATAAAATTTTAAAATTTTCAAACAATCGGGAAAAACTAAATAAAAATTAAGGAAAAACGGGATTTCTTATACTCAAAATAGGTTTTTGACAAAGTCGACTTTGGTTTTTGGTGCAATTCTAAAAAATGACTGTATATATACATGAAATTTTCACTGAATGTTTATATTAGTATTTTCTATATACGATATAATTTTCAAAATATTTTTACTTGTTTTGAACTGTTTACGGACATATTCAGTTTCCTATTTTTTAGTTTTTTTTCTATAAATATTAACAAAATTTTATTCGTTGGGTCAAAAAGCTTTAAAATTTAATTCAAGGCTTCTCATTTATTGTTACAATGGAAAATGAAAAATATTAAAAATACATAGTCAATAATTTTTTATATAAGAATTTAAAGCTTGAATTTTTACAAAAGGCTTAACAATCAAGAAAATATGCAAATTATTTTGAGTTAGAAATTCATCTAAGATAATAAAATAATAAATCTAAGATTTTAAAATTTTTATAGACGATTTAACTTATCTGTTAAAAACCATGATAATCCCCTAATTAAAGGACTTGCGTCGGTAAACATACCCGACAATCCTAGGAAAAGACTAAAAAGGCGGTGGTGTCGGGACCTATTAATTTAGTTAATTATCTAATCTTTATTTATATTTATAACTTTATTGTTAACTTATTGAAATGTATATAAAAAGCTGAAAAAGTGTCTTCACTGGAAGGCTTCTTAAATCCGTCCTTTCCTCAAGCCTTTCCTCATTCTATTATCTATTTTACTTATTGTTCATTTTATTGTAACAGATTGTAAATAAAAAATTATAAAAAAAAAAAAAAGATTTTAAAATGTAAAACAAAATTCCTTATATGATGACAATTATACTTACACACTTACACACTATTGAAACATACTATAATGATAAGTATTTATTTAAATATTCATTATTATTTATTGGGTAATTTAAGAAAATTAATTATTATTTATTTTCACTATATGTGTCTACTATATATATATTAGTATATTATGCCCCCTGCAACTACTATTACATATTTACATAGTATACATTTTGATTTATGACATTCACATTTTAGTCTGTACATTTTTTGACCTACTATTTTAGGTACCTATTTTAAAGTTTTCAAACAAATTTTAAATTTCATTGACATTAAAATAATTGTCGATTAAAGAAAATTATTAACAATAATTTTAAACAATTTGAATTTTAAATGATTTTTAGGGTAATAAAAACATGCATGATCTATGTCAAAATATGCCTAAAACGTCGACATTGGTAATAATCATAATATGTAATTATATGCAAAATAATGTCATACATCAAATCACCTTGAAATTAATTCAATTATATAATATTTTTACCTAGCATCGAATACGACATATAGATTGATATGCAAATGCATGAACTTAAACGAACCCTGAATTCGTCGAAATTATTATTATA